TCAGTCATTCTCTGATGTGTCTTAGTGGAATATCTTATAGTCAGTCATTCTATATGTCTCAATGGGATATCTTATTGTCAGTCATTCTATATGTCTCAATGGGATATCTTAAAGTTAGTCATTCTCTGATGTGTCTCATTGGGATATCTTACAGTCAGTTATTCTCTGATATGTCTCAATTGGATATCTTATAGTCAGTCGTTTCTGACGTTTCTCAGTGGGATATCTGATACTCAGTCATTCTCTGATATGTCTCAATGGGATATCTGTTACTCAGTCATTCTCTGATATGTCTCATGGGATATCTTATAGTCAGTCGTTTCTGACGTTTCTCAGTGGGATATCTTATAGTCAGTCGTTTCTGACGTTTCTCAATGGGATATCTGTTACTCAGTCATTCTCTGATATGTCTCAGTGGAAAATCTTATAGTCAGTCGTTTCTGACGTTTCTCAGTGGGATATCTGATACTCAGTCATTCTCTGATATGGCTCAATGGGATATCTGTTACTCAGTCATTCTATGATATGTCTCAATGGGATATCTCATAGTCAATCATTCTCTGATATGTCTCAATGGAATATCTTATACTCAGTCATTCTCCGATATGTCTCAATGGGATATCTTATAGTCAACCGTTTCTGACGTTTCTCAATGGGATATCTGATACTTAGTCATTATCTGATATGTCCCAATTGGATATCTTATAGTCAGTTGTTTCTGACGTTTCACAGTGGGATATCTGATACTCAGTCATTCTCTGATATGTCTCAATTGGATATCTTATAGTCAGTCGTTTCTGACGTTTCTCACTGGGATATCTGATACTTAGTCATTATCTGATATGTCCCAATTGGATATCTTATAGTCAGTTGTTTCTGACGTTTCTCAGTGGGATATCTGATACTCAGTCATTCTCTGATATGTCTCAATTGGATATCTGTTACTCAGTCATTCTCTGATATGTCTCAATGGGATATCTCATAGTCACTCATTCTCTGATATGTCTCAATGGGATATCTTATAGTCAACCGTTTCTGACATTTCTCAATGGGATATCTGATACTCAGTCATTCTCTGATATGTCTCAATTGGATATCTTATACTCAGTCATTCTCTGATTAGTCTCAATTGGATATCTCATAGTCAATCATTCTCTGATATGTCTTAATGGGATATCTTATAGTCAACCGTTTCTGATGTTTCTCAATGGGATATCTGATACTCAGTCATTATCTGATATGTCTCGATGGGATATCTTATAGTCGGTCATTCTCTGATATGTCTCAATTGGATATCTTATAGTCAACCGTTTCTGACGTTTCTCAATGGGATATCTGATACTCAGTCATTCTCTGATATGTCTCAATGAGATATCTCAGTCAGTCATTCTCTGATATGTCTCAATGGGATATCTCATAGTCAGTCATTCTCTGATATGTCTCAATGGGATATCTTATAGTCAGTCATTCTATGATATGTCTCAAGGGGATATCTTATAGTCAACCGTTTCTGACGTTTCTCAATTGGATATCTGTTACTCAGTCATTCTATGATATGTCTCAATGGGATATCTCATAGTCAATCATTCTATGATATGTCTCAATGGGATATCTCATGGTCAGTAATTCTATGATATGTCTCAATGGGATATCTCATGGTCAGTCATTCTATGATATGTCTCAATGGGATATGGTATAGTCAGTCATTCTCTGTTGTGTCTTAGTGGGACATGTAATAGACAGTCATTCTCTGATGTGTGTTAATGGGACATTATTGACAGACATTCTCTGTTGTGTCTCAGGGAATTGGTCATTCTCTAACATATCTTATAGACAACCATACTCTGTTGTCTTAGGGAGACATGTAATAGACAGTCATTCTCTGTTGTGTCTTAGTGGGACATTATGGACAGCCATTCTCTGTTGTGTCTTAGTGGGACATGTAATAGACAGCCATTCTCTGTTGTGTCTTAGTGGGACATGTAATAGACAGCCATTATCTGTTGTGTTTTAGTGGGAAATGTAATAGTCAGTCATTCTCTGTTGTGTCTAAGTGGGACATTATGGACAGCCATTCTCTGTTGTGTCTCAAGGAATCGGTCATTCTCTATCATCTTATAGACAGCCATTCTCTGTTGTGTCTTAGGGAGACATGTAATAGACAGCCATTATCTGTTGTGTCTTAGTGGGACATGTAATAGTCAGTCATTCTCTGTTGAGTCTTAGGGAGACATGTAATAGACAGCCATTATCTGTTGTGTTTTAGTGGGACATGTAATAGTCAGTCATTCTCTGTTGAGTCTTAGGGAGACATGTAATAGACAGCCATTCTCTGTTGTGTCTCAATGAATCGGTCATTCTCTATCATCTTATAGCCAGCCATTCTCTGTTGTGTCTCAGGGAATTGGTCATTCTCTAACATATCTTATAGTCAGTCATTCTCTGTTGCGTCTTAGTGGGACATTATGGACAGCCATTCTCTGTTGCGTCTTAGTGGGACATGTAATAGACAGTCATTCTCTGTTGTGTCTTAGTGGGACATGTAATAGACAGTCATTCTCTGTTTTGTCAGTGTGGGACATTATGGACAGCCATTCTCTGTTGTGTCTTAGTGGGACATGTAATAGATAGCCATTCTCTGTTGTGTCTTATTGGGACATTATGGACAGCCATTCTCTATTGTGTCTCAGGGAATAGGTCATTCTCTAACATATCTTATAGACAGCCATTCTCTGTTGTCTTAGGGAGACATGTAATAGCCAGTCATTCTCTGTTGTGAGTGGGACATTATGGACAGCCATTCTCTGTTGCGTCTTAGAGGAACATGTAATAGACAGTCATTCTCTGTTGTGTCTTAGTGTGACATGTAATAGACAGCCATTCTCTGTTGTGTCTTAGTCGGACATGTAATAGACAGTAATTCTCTGACGTGCCTTAGTGGGACATTATGGACAGCCATTCTCTGTTGCGTCTTAGTGGGACACGTAATAGACAGTCATTCTCTGTTGTGTCTTAGTGTGACATGTAATAGACAGCCATTCTCTGTTGTGTCTTAGTCGGACATGTAATAGACAGTAATTCTCTGACGTGCCTTAGTGGGACATTATGGACAGCCATTCTCTGTTGCGTCTTAGTGGGACACGTAATAGACAGTCATTCTCTGTTGTGTCTTAGTGTGACATGTAATAGACAGTCATTCTCTGTTGTGTCATTGTGGGACATTATGGACAGCCATTCTCTGTTGTGTCTCAAGGAATCGGTCATTCTCTGTTGCGTCTTAGTGGGACATGTAATAGACAGTCATTCTCTGTTGTGTCATTGTGGGACATTATGGACAGCCATTCTCTGTTGTGTCTTAGTGGGACATTATAGACAGCCATTCTCTGTTGTCTTAGGGAGACATGTAATAGACAGTCATTCTATGTTGTGTCTTAGTGGGACATGTAATAGACAGTCATTATCTGTTGTGTTTTAGTGGGACATGTAATAGAAAGTCATTCTCTGTTGTGTCTTAGGGAGACATGTAATAGCCAGTCATTCTCTGTTGTGTCTTAGTGGGACATGTAATAGCCAGTCATTCTCTGTTGTGTCTTAGTGGGACATCATCTTATAGACAGCCATTCTCTGTTGTGTCTTAGGGAGACATGTAATAGCCAGTCATTCTCTGTTGTGTCTTAGTGGGACATCATCTTATAGACAGCCATTCTCTGTTGTGTCTTAGGGAGACATGTAATAGACAGTCATTCTATGTTGTGTCTTAGTGGGACATGTAATAGACAGTCATTATCTGTTGTGTTTTAGTGGGACATGTAATAGAAAGTCATTCTCTGTTGTGTCTTAGGGAGACATGTAATAGACAGTCATTCTATGTTGTGTCTTAGTGGGACATGAAATAGACAGCCATTCTCTGTTGTGTCTTAGTGGGACATTATAGACAGCCATTCTCTGTTGTCTTAGGGAGACATGTAATAGCCAGTCATTCTCTGTTGTGTCTTAGTGGGACATGTAATAGACAGTCATTCGCTGTTGTGTCATTGTGGGACATTATGGACAGCCATTCTCTGTTGTGTCTTAGTGGGACATGTAATAGATAGCCATTCTCTGTTGTGTCTTATTGGGACATTATGGACAGCCATTCTCTATTGTGTCTCAGGGAATAGGTCATTCTCTAACATATCTTATAGACAGCCATTCTCTGTTGTCTTAGGGAGACATGTAATAGCCAGTCATTCTCTGTTGTGTCTTAGTGGGACATGGAATAGACAGTCATTATCTGTTGTGTTTTAGTGGGACATGTAATAGAAAGTCATTCTCTGTTGTGTCTTAGGGAGACATGTAATAGACAGTCATTCTATGTTGTGTCTTAGTGGGACATGAAATAGACAGCCATTCTCTGTTGTGTCTTAGTGGGACATTATAGACAGCCATTCTCTGTTGTCTTAGGGAGACATGTAATAGCCAGTCATTCTCTGTTGTGTCTTAGTGGGACATGGAATAGACAGTCATTATCTGTTGTGTTTTAGTGGGACATGTAATAGACAGTCATTCTCTGTTGTGTCTTAGGGAGACATGTAATAGACAGTCATTCTATGTTGTGTCTTAGTGGGACATGTAATAGACAGTCATTATCTGTTGTGTTTTAGTGGGACATTATGGACAGCCATTCTCTGTTGTGTCTTAGTGGGACATGTAATAGACAGCCATTCTCTGTTGTGTCTTAGTGGGACATGTAATAGACAGCCATTCTCTGTTGTGTCTTAGTGGGACATTATGGACAGCCATTCTCTGTTGTGTCTCAGGGAATTGGTCATTCTCTAACATATCTTATAGTCAGTCATTCTCTGTTGCATCTTAGTGGACAGCCATTCTCTGATGTGTGTCAATCAGATATTGTATTGCCAATAGCTCAATGATGTGTGAATGGTTCTGGTCAGTGTTTTGAGCTTGACCAAATCTGGTAGATGTATTTGCTTTTGAAAATAATAAATTCCAGACAAATCTGAAGTCTGCCAGGGGCTTGTATTTAGATAATTATAATATTTAAGTCAAATCAATCATCATGTATACAGATACACAATATATTTGGTTCATCTCCACCTTTTGACAATTATGGGTTGATTTCGGACAAAATACAATAACAGACAATGCTGTTCCATGAACAGCTGTGCTATGGTGTAATTTGATAATCCAGACTCAACTTAAAATATTATTATTGTGGAAGAAATTATTTCAAATTTTCTGTAAACATAATATCTAAACAATAAATATTGCCATGTTCAACTTCTATCTATGTATCGGCACATACTTTTGAAGTGTATAAAAAACTCTACCACAACTGAACAGGTTTATCAAATTAATTCAAGAACCAATCTTAATGATCTGTGACTGATTCCTGATTTGATTAAATTCTGACTTGTCTATCACCACACTGTGAACCTCCGATAGGGTTGGGTATTGTAAGCACTTATCATTAGCACAACATATTTGTACTTTTTGAAATGCAGTGTGTTTATAATGGTTTTATATAGAAAATACAAGAGTTGAGCATGCAGTTCAGCAAGCTTTAATGTTAATTGAATACTGTTTCATATCGTTTTCTAATTTATCACACCAAATAAACATGGTTTGGATAATATTGATCTGAACAAAAATTCTGTCAAGTTATTTCAAATAATTAGCTGAAGAAATAATGCAATATACTGCCATTTCAAAATCCTACTACAATATATATATATATATTGCTAGACAAATATTGCAATATTATTGCCAACCCCTAAACTTCAGGTATTTAGTTGATCACTTTTTACATAACCATGCATATACATGTGTATCGAAAAAGATTTTACCTTATATCCTAAATTGTCTGTATTAACATTTCACATTAAACTTGGTCTGTAAGAAACACTACACACTATATTGTATTAATAAATTGCACATCTCCATCATTACCTATTACAGCAAAAAAATGAGATAATAACATTTCTTTTTTTTTTTAACAAACTCGTCTACAGCATGAATGTGCCATGATGACACAGCTGGAGTAAGTTCTCATGCATACAAACTGCCACAAAACATAGTTTTCCCACAGATTTAATATGTTTTGTAAGCTGACCAATAGCATACTGTATTTATTCGGAAATAAGCCCATGCCTGGTAATAAGCCCACCCCTGTAAAAAAGACTAAAAAAGAAACACTGACAAATTATATATTTTACTGTCTTGCAATAAGCCCACCCTTACTTGGAGTAAGAGATTACATGTTGCCCTCCTTGGGGTTTTTTGCGGGATAAATATGGTATGTCCAGGTGAAGAGTTCCATCGGGCCAAAATTAATGATGCCACTAATATAAAATGTTAGTTTGTCATTTTTTACAGATGTGTTCAAATCACAACTTCCAATGTTTTTTACAGATTTTTTTTTTTCAGAATTTAGATGCTCTGAGAAAAATTTAAACAGAAACCAAAATGTTCCCGGCCAGGTTGAACTAAGGACTTTTTATATCAGGATTGATCAAATGAACACTCACACATATTCTTTTTGTCGTTACAATTTGATTTTTAACAAACTTTCATCCAGTTATTCATAGGTAAAAAAAGATTCCTCTCTATCAAAACAATACAACAACATGACCTAAAGGATGGATGTAAATTATAAGTGTTCTGAAAATCCCCGATAACATGATATGACAGAAATATGTTGATCACCACTGTCATGTGACAAAAACAGGACAATCAAGACTACTATAAAATAAGCTGTATACTGGAAACAACTTTTTTGGTTGTAAATCAGTCATCAAAGGTCTGGCAAGCCATGACATGAGGTGTTTTACAACATCTATCTGACTACCTGGCTGTTCCCATTATATTTATCGAACCATTTTCATCATCTTGAACAAAAATAAAACTTCAAAACGTTTTGAGATTCTTGTGATATTACTGGTAGTACAAGTTAAACGATTACAGGTTTCTGATGTGTGTAACTTTCAAATGAAACAATACCAGGTACATTTAATATCACTCAAGAAATTAACAGAACAGAAAAGTCGAATTAATTTTACATATACAGTGTGTAAATATATTACATATTGCATGGAATATAAGTATGAGAAAGTGTTCTAACTTGTACATGTATAAAAAACGGGATATTTTATATAAGGTTTCTTGTTCTTGCTGTGTACAGTAAGCATTTTCAATTTGTAGTTTGATTAAAAGGAAAACTATTCTACAAAAGACGTAATACTTAAGTAAAGATGACATAAATGAGGATAATTTATTTAAGAAATAATAGCAGTAGATATTTGTGCTTGTATGTACAGGAGTTATTCCCCTTTGAGTAGCAAATAGTTTTTCATCAATTTCCTTAAACATTGTTAAAATTGGAAATAACAATTTTGTGTGTATAACAAATGATTGTTTCTTTTTTGTAAAATGATCTCCGAAGGATCTGCCACATATCATACAGAGATAATATAACATTGAATAGCCAGCTATACCCATGGCTGTCAAACCATACTTAATTAAACCTGTGGTTTTATTGCCAGTTAATAGATAACATTTGTTCTTGATCTGGTCTTAAAACCCAGACCAACCTCTTTTAAACTCTCCACAATTTGACATTCTTTGAGGAATTAATGACAATTATGTCAGCACAAAAGCAATATTTGATCACACTGGAGTAAAAACAGAAAAGTCTACGATAATATCAGCAAAGAGAAGGACTTTGTAGAACATGCTGAAAATAATACAAATGACAATTCTATTTAGACAAAAACCCTGCAGACCAATGATACAAAATGTCTGTAAATGTTACATCAAGCCAATATTGTGACTGCCATATATCGTTGTTATATTTCATAGAACAGTAATTATCACCCTGTACACTGTAACGTAACACCACTGTAGACCACTTCTACCCTATATATAGGCTGTCCATAAAATCCCACGTATATCATTGCACATACACGTATAAGGCAGGTATAGAACTCAAGAGTAAAATGACTGAAAATACCTTTAATCTCAGGTGAAGTTACCGGAAAACACCTGATTCTAAAGAAAAACTTATTAGAATATGCCTTATTCTGAGGTAAAATCCTTTTTGTAATATGGTAATTATTCTGAAGCAAAATTGAAGGAAAAACATTTTACTTTAGGTAAAATTGCTTGATATACCTTATTCCGTAGCAAAATTTGCTGGAAAATACCTGGTTTCAAGGTTAAATTGTTGTTAAATAGTCGTACCAATAGATGTTTAACACAACCGTAACATTGACTTATACTTTCAACTAGATAATGTGTAAAATTACACGAGATTTTACAGCAATACCCTCGGGTAGGAGTTTATATCTGGTCTGAAGACGGTAATAAAAATCACCCTCAGAGATAAATGATATTACTATACCAGTCTACAGATAATGGAACAATATCAAAACTTTTCATTTCAATTTGAATTTGCATTGGGTGTTTTTTTTTACAGAAAGTTTAAAGCACTTGGGAGCCTAGACAAAATAAAATTCTTTTAAAATAAGGCAACAATGGAATTGACTTAATCCACTTGATTGTGCACTAGTCACTTATTTTCAGATCTGAATTTGTGTCATAAATACATTTAAAGAAAGTACAAACATGGCAAACCAGTTACATGTTTGAAGTACTTGATTTCCTTTACTTACATAATTATATGACATGAAAAAAAAAAAAAAATGAAAAGAAAAAAAATACAAGCTAATCATTACAAAATATGGCTACATAATTGTCAATCCCTGACGTGGACAGAGGCCAAGAGCTTTTGGAGCCTTAAAAGTCATTTCATTAAGGATACATGCTACATTACACATTATATTTGTAATTTGAATTAGAGTTATCTGCCCTTCTCTATAGCACTCTTTTACTTAATTTTATAGTTTCATGCATTCTTGTATTCATTCTAAATGTGCAGTCAATCAATAGTTAAGTACCAATCATCACCACACATAAAAGATTGAATACAGGTCTCACAGTGTCCAACTCATCTAGGAAAATGATACACAAGGCACACTGAGGATCATATTTTGACAGGGGGTACAAAATGTGCGTGCAGTGAATGGCCAGATTGCTATCATTTAAGGATCCGTCCCACTGCACTCTGGTTTTTCATGTATAGAGTAACCTCCCCTTAATTTCGTTTTGTCGATAACTGTAATACTGCTGGGCCAGAGCACTTCCTGTTGACCGTGTAACTCAGTCAGTTTGAGCGACAGTATAACAATCTGAAGTCGATTAAGGTTCGACTCCTGATTGGCCACATACTTTATTTATACTCTGAAACTGTTATTGAGTACTTTTGTTAAATCTATCTCTATATCATTTTTCATCAAATTTCCGCAAGGTATGGTTTTCTTTTCAGAAATGTTTTATCATAACTATTGGAATGACTGGAAATCAGTTTCACTGTGTAGTTACAGTTTTTGGCAGTGGTACGGGGTTCCTTAACTACTTTTTTGAAAATGTTGGTATGATTTATTTCCCATTTAAATCCACCACAGCAACATTTATTGAAAATTGCTTTTAATGTTTGAATTATCATGCAAAGAATTTAGTGTATTTTATTTTACTGCATTATGTATCTACTGATGACAAACAAACACATTGTGTGTTTATGGAAACATGTATAGTCAGAGACACTCATAAATAACTCAAAATGAAGGGCTCGATCCTCGGCACCACAAATATCGATTTCTGTTTTTGTCTGACAGTATTGAAAGCATTAATTCAAAATCATTGTTTTTTATTGCATAAATGTAATATGAATTAAAAACAAATTGAGTTAATTTGAAAGCATTCATGATATTCACTATATTGATTTCATAAAATTTCTGGATGATGCTGCCAATTTAAACATCAATGTTTCTTTAAATAGAATCCAAATACCTTGACCTTGGTCATAATACAAAACATGAAATAAACACGATTTTCTGATAGACTTGATCAAACAGCATGGGATTTTGCATATCTTAATAGCTAGTGAATGACATTAGGAATAAGCAATAAAATTAGTTTCACAATATATATCTACACCTCTACAATTGTTATACATTATACTTGGAGAGACATAGAAAATGACAATGAACACATCCAAAGAATACTTGTTGAAATAAAGGGAGATAACTCACAAAAAAGAGAGACGAGGGGGACATAAGTGATGGGAAGGGAGAGCGTCATTCATGTATATTTCAAGCTCTACACGGTTTTTATTATTTCCGTGCCTGGAATGGTCAATTATTTGCTATTCATACACAAACCTATTTCATATATCTTGTATACATTTGTACAAATGAAATTGGTGATTGCAGACAATCTTTTGTAAAACGGTGAAGTCTCTAGCGTGTATTGATCAGTCAGGGTGATGATAACTTGGGTGATGAAGTTATCATAAATTTCCTTCGTCCATCATTTTTCGTAAATTTGTCACTATACTCTCCATTAAATCGCGGCATTTTCCTTCAGGTGCGAAAATCACATCCATTAGACTCTCGTCACAAAACGAATGGAACACATGGTCTACCCGTCCTTTCGTCTTGTCTGTTGAATGACGCTCTATCAGAGTCTGAAGCATTTGTCTGCACTCTTCAACGCTCGACTTCAGAAAGACTGAGTCGTATGTAAACTCCACTTCGTGAAAACTAATGACTGTCATAGATAATGAATGGAATTTTTTCTTGAATGAATCGGCCATTGCCAGCTCTTCTGCATTGAATTGGTCATTTCGATACAATATTCCAACTTTTACGACAATTTTGATGAGATATTTCATCATCTTCTCGGCGTCTTTTTTGTTCGAATATTCCTTGATGATTTTGTAGGCTGCATCTAAAACTTTACTTGTGGTGTCATCAATAAAGTGTTTTGCGATCGACTTGCTTGACATTTTTCCAAGGAGTTTCTTCTGGATCTTGAGACCCACTCCTCGGGAGTCAAAGCCAGCCCCTGGCTCTGCCACTGAAACACACAAAACCATGTCATTATTAAACGATATATCACCATTCTTATTAATTACCACTGCCACTAAATTTTGGCAAGAGAGCAAAAATATCTGTTTTATAGATCATTCAATAAATGTATCAAAGTGTTATGTATTTACAGTATCTTAAAATAGAAAATTGTATATAAAAATATATCATATTTGTCCTAATAAGTGCCCCTTTATCATTATTCTAGTCAAAGCACCCTACAAATTCTTTCACAAAAATTTAATGACTTTCTTCAAAAAAGCATTTACTTTGGTTTTTTTGGAGAATTTTAAAATCATTCATACTCTTTGAAATTGCTCAGCACCCAGGGCACTTATTAAGGTAAATACGTTATCTATCCTCAGAGATGAGGTCTTCGTTACAGGTTATGTTAAGGATTGGAATTACATATTTTATTGTACAGATGACAAAAAAAACACTTTTTTACACAATGACAATTTTTTCTTCTTCTGAAGTAACAGTTTTTCAAAACACAAAGTCAGTGCAAATAACAATCGCGTAACGATTCTAAGAATTGACCAAAAAGTAATCAGGTGAAATGACACTGAATTTATCTAACTAGTAGTTATATTGTCTGCCAGCATATTTTCTACAGAACTTCATTCAAAACTTATGAAGCCAAAACCATACAAAAAGCCACCAGCATACTGTGACATACATTTGCATAACAATAATGATATTCACTGTAAAAAGATCTGTATGGTTACAAAGATTCAAAGTTTAAAAAATTTTTTTTAGCTGGCAATGATCTTTAAAATGTTTGTAAAACATGCTCCCTCTCATGCTTTGATCGAAATAGAGCTAAATGCGACTAGAGGCCCATGGGCCTTAACGGTCACCTGAGTCCTACAGTATTTATTTTTGTTGTTGAAATATGAAGTGGAGATAATGATGTCAATCATCCCTACCAATTTGATTAAAAAAAGTAAAGTATAACATTAAGTTAAGTTTGTCAGGACCATGAGATGATCATTCCTAGACCGAGTTTCAGTTAAATCGGCCTATTTGAACTTGATTTTGAGTTTGAATTTTTTCCCCCCAAAAATGATAGCTGAAGCGGCCATATTAGATTTTTGATCAGCCGGGGAAAAAAAGGAAACTTTGCCAGGACCATGAATGGATCATTCCTACCAAGTTTTAGCTAAATCGGCCAAGTAGAACTGGACTTTAAGTTTGAAACAAGAGGCAAAATGGGCCTGCATCACTCAACTGGTATTAATTTCACACTTGTAATCTTAAAAGTGGACTAAAATACAGCTACAGGCAGAATATCAGTGTTTGATTCATAAGAACCTATTAAAAGATTTAAACATATGACACCTGTGACCATGAATGTCGAACAAGGACATTAGGTTGAACGTGGGTCAAGGACATTCATTTGAACAAACTTGGTAGCCCTTCATCCCAGCATGCTCCAGGCACAATATCAGTACCCTCGGCCTTTGGTCATTGAGAAGAAGTTGTTTGAAGATGTTAAGACATTTGACCCCTGTCACCTTGAAAGTTGGTCAAGGTAATTTATTTGAACAAATATCCAAGCATGCTACAGGCCCAATATCAGTACCCTGGGCCTTTTGGTTATTGAAAAGAAGTTGTTTGAAAATTTTAACATGTTTGACCCCTGTGACCTTGAAAGTGGGTCAAGGTCATTCATTTGAACAAACTTGGTAGCCCTTCATCCCAGCATGCTTCAGGCCCAATATCAGTACCCTGGACCTTTCGATTATTAAAAGAAGTCGTTTGAAGAATTTACGACATTTGACCCCTGTGACCTTGAAAGTTCATCAAGGTAATTCATTTGAACAAACTTGGTAACCCTTCATCCGAGCATGCTACAGGACCAATATCAGTACCTTGGGCCTTTTGGTTATTCAGAAGAAGTCGTTTGAAGATTTTACGACATTTTACCCCTGTGATCTTGAAAGTGGGACATGTTCCTCTAAGACCACCGCAGTAATTATCTAATGATAAATGCAGACAGATGGAAAGATGATATCAATTAATTTGTTATTTCTCTATGTGTTTGTGTATATATAGTAAAGGGGTGCGGTTGTATTTACAAACGAGATTACGAGGATAGATGGAAACATCACATGTCAGTGGCCACACCAGACACTGCTAAATACGGATCAAAAAGATGTTATATTTAGACAGGAAATGTAATACAGCTTTAAAGAAGATCAAATTATTATGTTATAATTATATATGAAACATAAAAAAAGGCTTGATAATTAAAGATCGTGATGCATTATAAACTGAGTTATTACAAGGGTTTTGTTCCTGAAACACTAGCTCAAGTCTATATATGGAACACCAGGAATCTATTTATTTGTCATTACATATCAATCCTGTGTCAATATGACCGATCAATGAAGAATGGAAAAAGAAAATAAACATGTAACTTTCAATTATGCATACAAGGTTCATAGAACTTGGATATCAAACACATTTTTGAAATGACACAACTGTTATTCCTTTGTATTGACTTTATATAAATCTTTGTCCAGCTGTGAAACAAATTCAGTCAGCATCTTTTTAAATATGCTTACCTTGGTATGTAAATAAATATATAGGTTTCCTTTATTCAATTTTAAAGCTAAGTAGAAAATATTCTTTAGTGCACTACTTATTACTATTCTTCATTCAATTTTTTTTAATATGCTTTTTTTTACTGTGCTCGGTCTGTTACATGTTTTACCTGAGAATTATACTCAAGTTGCCTCCCTTGAAATCATCTATTTCATGTTTTCTAAACAATTCGGACTAGCTGGGGTGTTTATGATGATTTCATTCTATTAATTAACCAAACTGGAAATAATGGCCATTAAAGATATTAAAAAGATTTAATTGCTTTACTGTGGAACTCTTTAGCAAGGAGATTTTTATGTCAGACAATGGAAGCATATTTCCTTAAACTAGACATTACATGCGTTGACAATAAAGTTACATATAAAGTGCATTCCACTTGACCAAAGTTTCTTTGAGGTCACCGCTCTTGACTTAACTTCAATCAATTTTCTTTTTAGGGTTCCAATTAATCTTTCTGATTGACATAATTTTCAAAACCTATTAAATCTCTTTATATTAGTTAAACAAGTTATCTTCATCTGCCCCGGAAATTTCATCATGAACTATTCCATATTAGTTAAACAAGTTATCTTCATCTGCCCCGGAAATTTCATCATGAACTATTCCAACCTTTGAATTGGAAGAGTTCAAATGTGTCTTCAGGGGTGAATGAGGTAAAGGATAATGAAAGGACTAAATTGACCTCAATGTGACCTTGACCTTTCATTTAAACTTAAAATACAAAAATAAAATTTAAGTGATAAAGATGCCAATGAAAATGAGAATAGTCAGTACATAGAAGCCACACCGTATCATTGTCTAGTAAATTAACAAAATTTAGTGATACATAAAATACATAAATATTACCATGTAAGTAAGTACAAATGTTGATGGTTAAAATTATACATAACATACAGTACTAGGATTAACAAGAACTACAAGTAAAATAATATGACTTTTGTATGTGATTAATAGGCAGTATATATATATTTGCTATATGCTGACACAGTATACGTAGTGCACACAAAACACCAGCCCACCCTTAGTTATATCATCTTCATCAGAACTGTGTGAAGTCATACTGCTAAAAAAAACAAAATCACATCAAGTCTTAAAAACACAAATATTGAGGTTACGATTTTACTGCTTCATTGCATATTAAAAAGATCAATCTCGAGTATTATTGGCACAACTGTTATAGGACATCATACTTGCCAACCCTCCCTATTTTGGCGGGAGACTCCCGAATTTGGACCCGAAAATTTAGCATTTTCAACCAGGGTAAAACTAAAACTATTCCTATATTGAAAGATCTGATGATTTCATCTGAAAGACCAACTCAAAATGTGTCATTTAAAGGGTCATTCTGTCTCTAGGGGGTGTGTACACAGATTTTATTTAGGTTTTAATTTTTAAGGATGCAGAATCTCCCCCGAGGAAATTTTAAAAAGTTGGCAAGTATGGTATACAAAGGTTAATTCCAAACGCTGAAAATATGTCAACTTTCTTTACCTGTTTGTTTAATTAAGGATGTACACCTCTGAGAAGTCGAAAATTTCCTGTATTTAACCTTTTTTCTCATATGGATTTTTGGAAAAAGGAGTTCATGGCATAGTAAAAAATCCAAAAGAATATATATGTCCGTGTGTTCGTTTTTGTGCTTTGATCTGTCAAACATACCAATTTAACACAACATGTGATTTTAGGTGATTTTTTGGATTTTGATCATTTGCAGAACAAATTCATATAATTTCTTCCAAGTGTGTTATTAGATATGTATGAATGTTTGTAGAATTGATGAAAATATTATTTTCTTTTAAATTATGGAAGTAAAATTTCTTAATCTTATTCTTTTGACTCAGAAAACCGATTTTAGTTACCCCTACCCCATATTTTTTAATGAAAAAATACTAATTTTTTAACAGTTTTTGCAGATTAAATGCTTGATATAAAAAGTTCTGCTATTAAACTTTTTTTAATATTTAATGAATTAAATGAAAATGAGTTTCTCTTTCTAAAACATCTACAAAAATGGGGGGTCAGTGTGCTTCTTATTTTGTCCCATTATCATTTATGTTATTTTTTACCTTTTTGGGGTCAAAAATCAAAGTGCTTCAAGTACACTAAATATGTAAAATAAATATCAATAATGTATATTTTCCAGTTTGTTGCATATTATTTTTATCATATTGAACTTTATAAAGTTGTACAGAAAAAAATGAACCTGCTACAATTAAAAATGACGATACAATGACAATTTAAGTGATCAATTTAGTGTCAAAAAAGGTGAAATGTTGGCCTTTTTTTTAAGCGCAAGAAATACACATGAATACACATTTTCAAGATGGCCACCGAATTTGTATTTTTTTTAAATTCTTGTAAAAAAAGTTCTACAAACAACAGGCATCTAGTTTTTTGACATATTATTCAGATGCGTGTTTGCTAATAAACTTGATCATAATTTGTTTAATATTACAAAAACCCATTACACCAGATGAAAACGAGACTTGAACTTGACTTAAACCTCAGAAGAGTACATCCTTAAGTTTTGATTGAGTGCAACACAATTAACTTCTTCATTACTATCTAATTTCTTCTAATTAAAATAATAAATTTTCTGGCCTATAAGCTTGTGTTAATGACTTTCTATTCGGTATATCTTGAATATGATATGTAAATATGATATATATTTTATGTATACTATACACAATTTAATTACAATGTTAAATCATCGCACACTAACCCTATTAAATTTATCATGTTGTTGAATTTTCTGTATTACAAAGCAGGTGGAGAAGCTTGCTAATGACACAGATTACATGAGCATGTGTTGTTTTGCTACTTACTTTTTGTGTCTGGGTCACCAGACTGTTTGTAGGACTGCTATGTTAGGCCTGTCTGTCCTGTCTGTCACTCAGCGGTTACTACTCAATTACATCTGAAACAGGAAAGGTAAAGGTCAGCTACATCAATGTGTAGGGCACTTCTAAACATCAGCCTGGAGCCAGATGGTGGTTAATACATATCAAAAGGCTCACTGGGCCTGTTTAGATTAAGATGTTGGTACAACCTTTAGATTAAGATGTTAAAGGGCTGTTTTGCTGGCTTACATCTGGCTTCTTCTAATTTACATGAAAAATACCATTACCAGCCATGACTGCATGCATTATAGACGTGTATTTATAGAATTCTATTGATAGAAAAGCCGTTGACATAAATTTTTAAGAAACACTATTGACAATGACCCTCAGTGATACATATTGACAATGAAGGGCAGACCTCTCGCCTGCACCAAAACAGAAGTATATATTGAGCAGGCTAAAAGTATTCAATTTTCAGGAAAAATGTCCCTTTAAAAATGACTAGTGCTTGTTTATGATGGTGATTTTTTTTATGGGACATCTATGTTGCCTCAACATTTCAAGCAGTAAATGCTTCAAAATACACTTAATCTTACTTCAACACCAAAATGATTGTTTAATGTCTGATAAGATGGGTGCTCAACATATTAATTATCTTTTGTGAGATATCTCCCAAGTCGAAGTATATAAATTGGTGTGAATGAGCTTTAAATAAACCACTAAACTGCTGATAAAGTCTATCAAATGGGACATTTAAAATCCAGGCCTTCCATAAACTGTAGTATGTAATATACATAGAACAGTAATATATCAGTTCAAGCCAGTGGGATAAGGTCTTTGTGATAAAGCGGTAATAAAAACTATTATGAAATATTGAGCTTGTACATTTGTCTAGATCTTAATGATAGTCTTTAAAATATAAACTTCATTTATTTTACGATAATTATGAAACAAGTTATCACAACTTATACTAATCACTCTAATGTTAGCATTATGGGGATATAAATGTAGGAGGAAACCGGAGTACCAGGAGAAAACCCACGCGGACGGGGGGGTGACCCCATACCTTTACACGTCTGATAGGGGAATCGAACCCTGGCCACCTTAGCGAAAAGTTATCCACTGCACCACCAGAGCACCCAAATTTTGGCATGATAACGACTTTTCTAATCTGGTAGATTTTGTGAATTTTCATTTCTAACATGTTTAATATTTGACCTCAAAGCTCTCTGTTGAGTAATAGTTTTGAGTCACAACCACCTAACCCAATACTTCAAAGATGACTGATTTATTACCATGTGGGATTAGATAAGCATCATTAAGTTTTGATGAGAATTTGATCCTTACTCCCATGATGTTTCCAATAACAACAACATGACACTAGTTCCAGCAGATCATAGAACAAATGATTCATGGGTGCATCACAGCGATATAAAAAACGTTTCTTTAAAGTGCATCACAGCTGAATGATTAAACCACTCATACAATTTTCGCGTTTTCATTTTTTACATGTATAATTAACAAACATCTGAATATCTTGGCTTCTTTGAACAAGTTATAATTGCCACCTCCATAAAATCATTAAAAGATTAAATAACGATGACTAATTACATCAAGAATTATCACTATAAAAGTTTCAACTATGCTAAAGATCTTGAACTGTTTGAAGCAGGATTTAAACTACATTATTTCAGATATCTAGAAAGTCAAAGCCTATATTTCATCTAACATTTGTTATTAACAGATATGAATGATGTTAAGTGGTTTTCTTTGAATATTGAGAGACAGATTTCACAGATATAATAACATGGGGGGAATAACATGTCAGAATTATAGCCCAGCTCAATGTTTTACTCTCAGAATACTGTTGTTGATATTTTAATTTTTTATCTTTATTATTTCTGATAAAGGTCCCGCAAGTTATAATTTTCTTTTCAGAAATGATTTATCTAAGCTAGAGCAATTTAGTTTTCAATACTAAGTTACAGTTTTGGGGGTTCGGGGATCCTTAACACGAAAAGTGACAAATTTATGGTTACAAACCTTCAGCCAAATTCTACATTGGTGTTACAACACACTACTTAGAGTAACCGTGACTATCTGCCGTTTCAGCTGAGCAATGTCACAAGCCATTCTAAATAGGCGGATCAATTTCTCTTTGATCTGAATTTTAAGTAATAGAAATTCTCTCAAAAAGAACATTGAAGTTTGTATTTTATTACAAATCTGTCAATATTTTATGAACCATGCCATATGTTCCACTCAGCAATTCTCAGTATTATACTGTTCATGTGATTATACTTGACTGAAAAACATGGTTTTTAAACAATCAAATAAAATTCCATTTTTAATCATCAGTATTCCAGATGTTCAAATATGAGATCAATAGAAAATGACTTTGTCTTGCATATTGTCAAAACTTATTTTCAGAATTAAAAGAATACACCATTTGATTACCGTTTCAGATCTAAACCTTAAACAATTATGACATTTCTATTAACTCATTCACCCCTGAAATTTCATAATGAACTATTCCAACTTTTGAATTGGAAGAGTTCAAGTGTGTCTTCAGGGGTAAATGAGTTATCACATTCCCCTTGACACAAGGATCCTTAAAAGCAGAAACACCGGTCCTAGCTTCCTTAAAGTTTAAGGTGTAGCATGCTGATGACACTTGTAGTTGTTTCATTATCATGTTGTTACAGGACAGGAAGGCCCTACTTGTTTACTGATAAGTCCAAGGGGGAACCATCTATAAATCTCCAATAACACAGGGACAGGGGGAACCATCTATAAGTCTCCAATAACACAGGGACATGGGGATGAATTGTATATCACCGACTACACAGGGACAGGGGGAACCATCTACAAGTCTCCAATAACACAGGGACAGGGGGAACCATCTATAAGTCTCCAATAACACAGGGGCAGGGAGAACCATCTATAAGTCTCCAATAACACAGGGACAGGGGGAACCATCTGTAAGTCTCCGATAACAGAGGGACAGGGGGAACCATCTGTAAGTCTTCAATAACACAGGGACAGGGGGAACAATCTATAAGTCTCCAATAACACAGGGACAGGGGGAATCATCAATAAGTCTCCAATAACACAGGGACAGGGGGAATCATCTATAAGTCTCCAATAACACAGGGACAGGGGGAACCATCTGTAAGTCTCCAATAACACAGGGACATGGGGAACCATCTGCAAGTCTCCAATAACACAGGGACAGGGGGAATCATCTGTAAGTCTCCAATAACACAGGGACAGGGGGATGAAATGAATATCACTGACTTCACAGGGACAGGGGGCTGAAATGTATAACACTGACTACACAGGGCAAGGGGGCTGAACTGTATAAAACTGACTTTACAGGGACAGAGGGCTGAATTGCTTTAACATTGACTACACAAGGTCAGAGAGCTGAATTGTATAACACTGATTACACAGGGACAGAGGGCTGAATTGTATAACACTGACTACACAGGGACAGAGGGCTGAATTGTATAACACCGACTACACAGGGACAGAGAGCTGAATTGTATAACACTGATAACACAGGGACAGGGGGCTGAATTGTATAACACCGGCTACACAGGGACAGAGGGCTGAATTGTATAACACCGACTACACAGGGACAGGGGGCTGAATTGTATTACACTGACTACACAGGGACAGAGGGCTGAATTGTCTTAACCCCGACTACCCAGGGACAGAGGGCTGAATTGTATAACATTGACCACCCAGGGACAGGGGGCTGAATTGTATAACACTGACTACCCAGGGACAGAGGGCTGAATTGTCTTAACCCCGACTACCCAGGGACAGAGGGCTGAATTGTATAACATTGACCACCCAGGGACAGGGGGCTGAATTGTATAACACTGACTACCCAGGGACAGAGGGCTGAATTGTCTTAACCCCGACTACCCAGGGACAGAGGGCTGAATTGTATAACATTGACTACACAGGGACAGGGAGCTGAATTGTATAACACTGACTACACAGGGACAGAGAGCTGAATTGTATAACACTGACTACACAGGGACAGAGAGCTGAATTGTATAACACGGATTACACTGGACAGAGAGCTGAATTGTATAACACTGATTCCACAGGGACAGAGGGCTGAATTGTATAACACCGACTACACAGGGACAGAGAGCTGAATTGTATAACACTGATAACACAGGGACAGGGGGCTGAATTGTCTAACACTGACTACACAGGGACAGGGGGCTGAATTGGTTTAACACCGACTACACAGGGACAGAGAGCTGAATTGTATAACACTGACTACACAGGGACAGAGAGCTGAATGGTATAACACCGACTACACAGGGACAGAGGGCTGAATTGTTTTAACACCGACTACACCGGGACAGAGAGCTGAATTGTATAACACTGATAACACAGGGACAGGGGGCTGAATTGTATAACCCTGACTACACAGGGCCAGGGGGCTGAATTGTATAACACCGACTACAGAGGGACAGGGGGCTGAATTGTATAACACCGACTACACAGGGACAGAGAGCTGAATTGTATAACACTGATTCCACAGGGACAGAGGGCTGAATTGTATAACACCAACTACACGGGGACAGAGAGCTGAATTGTATAACACTGTCTACATAGGGACAGAGGGCTGAATTGTATAACACTGATTACACTGGGACAGAGGGCTGAATTGTATAACACTGACTTCACAGGGACAGAGGGCTGAATTGTTAAACACTGACTACACAGGGACAGGGAGCTGAATTGTATAACACTGACTACACAGGGACAGAGAGCTGAATTGTATAACACTGACTACACAGGGACATGGGGCTGAAATGTATAACACCGACTACACAGGGACAGGGGGACAGGGACAGGGGGAACCATCTGTAAGTCTCCGATAACACAGGGACAGGGGGAACCATCTGTAAGTCTCCAATAACACAGGGACAGGGGGAACCATCTGTAAGTCTTCAATAACACAGGGACAGGGAGCTGAAATGTATAACACTGACTACACAGGGCAAGGGGGCTGAATTGTATAAAACTGACTTTACAGGGACAGAGGGCT